CTCGAATGCTCTCGACTTCGCATGGTCGACCTCCCAAAATAGATTGGGGTACGTCCCATCGACGAACCTCCTCTTCTTCGCCTCAGCCGTGAAAGGAGAGACGACGTACTGTGACGGCACTCTCAGCCTCTTGCCGACCACCGTCTCTGGCATTTCAACAGCACGCTTTTTTGCCTGATACACTGCCACCTCCTCTACCTCCTCATTTGCCACAGTCTCTGACGGGGCCACTCCCTCATCTGCCACTCCAACATCTGCCTCCGTCTCCGTCCTCAACGGGGCCACTCCAACATCTACCTCTATCTCTGTCCTCGATAGGGCCACTCCCTCATCTGCCTCCGTCTCCCTCCCCGACGGGCCCCCTCCTCTGTAACTACTCCCGTCCCATCGCGCTCCACAGATAAAATAAACGATTCCCATGCATCGTCATCATGTATGTATGACTGCCGGAGACCCCCATCTCTATCACCCCCATCCCTATCACCCTCTCGATCACCCCCTCAATCACCGTCTTCGTCAACCCATCGCCTACCGGCTATATCACCCCGAAGTGCTGTAATCTCATTCGACAAACCTTCGACCCTTCCTACCAACTGTCGTCCCAGATCATCAACCCTCTCTATCATCTCTCGACGTAGCCCGTCGACCTGCCCCTCTATAAATCTACTCAGACGGGCGTACAGATCATCAAATAGTGCCCTTGACTACGTGCGGGAGATCCACATAAGAGGTCTCTGGACGGGGGAGGCGGAGGAGATGCCGTCGGCGGCATCTCTGGCGGAGGAGGAGATGCCCTCAGCAGAGGTGGTGATGCCCTTGACGGAGGTGATCATCAATCAACTGGATCACACTCCTACACAAGCAACAACATTACAAATTATTAACTTCATCCGTAAATGCTAACTCATAGAAAATAGTAATCAATAGATTTTATTGAATTCGCTCACCCAATCTCGGTCGTGCATCGAATCGGACATATGGTCATCTTTAGTGTGCGAAACGCCTAATTCACACACAAGACCCTGAGCCTCCTCCTCCATCGACGGGGTCAACTTAGTTATGACTTCAAGCTGATATATTAATATTTGAACTAATTAACGATCATGCAATCAAATGTTAAATCACGCACAATATAAATTACAAATACATAATACTCACCTGAGGGTCGTCTAGGATAGCCGATAATTGCTTCCCAGTGGGACATCCCTCCGATCAAGATGCTCTCCAATGGTTCATTCGAGGGCAGCATGTCTCCCCTTGCCTGGCAAATCGGGCACCCAATATGGGGAAGACCTCATACGCCCAGATCTGCAACAAATACAGTTATTATATATAAATTCAATATGAAAATATTTTTAATATTCATTATGTTAAACATTTACCTACACCATCAGGGGCAATCCATAGGTGTTGTACTTGTGCATGGCTCCCTTCGGCTTCGAGTGCGATCTGGTGAAGACGTGCACAGTGTCCTCAAAACATTTCCGGCCCCACGGATAGTCGTTGAAATGATCGAGGTCGTCAACGATCTCTAGATGGAAGAGGTCGATCGCAATCTTTTTATGGTGACACTGCACCACGCTCTCAAGGATGTAGATCAGACCTAATTTTAGTCTGTCTAACATCTGATCACACCTTCTAATTGCGTCTAATAGCTATGTAAGAAGCACAGTACCCTATCCCTCGAAGTAAGCGTCATGAAGCCTATTTCTTATCTGAGTCCCATCACAAGCTGCTTCATCGCCCGTAATCTTTAATCCCGTGATCAGAGCAAACTCGAACATAGAAAAACTGGCAATTTTACCCCCGATTGCAAAGTGGAGGGCATCGCTGTCAACTGGACTTAGCAATCGAAGTGCATCATTAATCTGACCCGAGTACTGCAGATCTCTCAAGGGGTACAAGGGCCACAAGAAGGATTGGCGCAGCATATCAGCATGTTGATCATCAAACAACTCTAACACATCTGTGAAACTATCAAAACTACTATTCCACGTAGCTTTGCCTGTCATCTGTCTCAACTCTGCGTCAAGATGATAATCCATCCCGTACAAATTCAAAATGTTAGAACATTGTACAAGTCATAATAGTAATAATAGAAAATTTAGCGAACGAAATTATAACTACAATACGCAAAACGCAGATTCATAATAATTAAAATCAACAATAATGTTAATTTTCTTATCCTATTATCAATATTGTCAATTTTTCCCAATTATCCTAATATCAAATTTTTCCCAATTATCACAAAATCAAAATAAATATTAAATTTCAAATTAAATTTTCAACAATTATTTCAAATTAAAATTAAAAATTTCCCAAAAATTATTTCAAATTATTATTTACCAAAAATGAAAAAATAAAAATAAATATTAAAACAAAAATTAAATGTAAAAATTTTATTTAAATTTAGTCGTAACAATTTTATCTAAATTCGACAAACTAAATCATTTATTCTTTATTAAAACCAAATAATACAAAAAATTTTAACATTAAATTATTATATTATTTGTGAAAAAAAAATTTGGGCAAATTTTTTTTTTAATTTTAATTTCCAACAATTATTTCAAATTACAATTAAAAATTTTCCAACAATTATTTCAAATTACAATTACAAATTTCCCAACAATTATTTCAAATTATTATTTACCAAAAATGAAAAAATCAAAATAAATATTAAAACAAAAATTAAATATAAAAATAATTTATTATTTATTTTACCAAATAATAAAAATATTTTAAAATTAAATTTCCAATAATTATTTCAAATTACAATTAAAAATTTCCCAACAATTATTTCAAATTATTATTTACCAAAAATGAAAAAATAAAAATAAATATTAAAACAAAAATTAAATGTAAAAAATTTATTTAAATTTAGTCGTAACAATTTTATCTAAATTCGATAAACTAAATAATTTATTATTTATTAAAACTAAATAATAAAAAAATTTTAAAATTAAATTATTAAATTATTTGTGAAAAATAATTATGCAAAAAAAAATATATAAAAAAATAATATTATTTATCAAAAGCTAATAATAAAAATAAAAATAAAAATTAAATTTTAAATTAAATTTCCAACAATTATTTCAAATTACAATTAAAAATTCCCCAACAATTATTTCAAATTATTATTTACCAAAAATGAAAAAATAAAAATAAATATTAAAACAAAAATTAAATGTAAAAATAATTTATTATATATTTTACCAATTAATGAAAAAAATTTAAAATTAAATTAGTAAATTATTTGTGAAAAACATATATTGGAAAAAAAATAAAAAAATAAAAAGTGGGCCGACTGTTAACAGTCGTCCCACTATTTATTGGCTGATTGTTAACAGTCGGCCCACTACTTTGGGCGACTGTTTAACAATTGGCCAAACCGACTGAAACACCGCCTGTGGGCCGACTGTTAAGCTGGCCCTGCCCGACTGTTAATCCGCTTGTTAAGAGTCGGTTCTTATTTAAAGTCACCATTTTCGGCTGTCTTCACGCTTTCTCATAGGAAAATCACAATTTTTGGCAAGGAAAGTTTCGAAATTCCACCAATCAATAATTTCTTAGACTACATAAACCCTATTTTACCAATATAAACAAATAAATATTGAAAAAATATCCAAAATCTAAATATTAAATCAACCAACCGAATCTTACCTTTACAAGATGTCGCCGGCGATAGATGAATCTTGCTCCGACCGCTTTTGTGATTTTCAGTTTTGTGTGACAGTCGGTTTTGTGAGAGTCGATTTTGTGAGGGGTATTTTGAGATTTTAAGCTTTAAATTCGATTTTTTTTAATTACAAACAGTGGTCAAGGGTCACTTTGGAAATAGCACCGATTTATTCGATCATTTCCTATAATTTCCTCAGTACTTTCCCTAGCACCAGTTGTGAGCAGGGACGGATTTGGGCTGGGGAAAGGGGGGGAGGGGGCGGGGCAGGGCAGGGCTGTAGTCCCCCGTCTCAGGCCCAACAAATTTTTTCTAAAGGTATTTTTTTTTGGTAAAAAATCAGTTTTTTTATGTGTAAATTTTTTTTCCACGTAGTAGCCCGATTTGTGAGGATCCGATCCTGGATCTGTCCCTGATTGTGAGGAGATATACAGCCTGGTTAACACGCCTTAAAGGTTAAATATCAACTGCTTGACGTCTCACAACACTGGTAGAACCAATCCTTGTTGCATCTTCTCTTGGTTTACTACCAAAAAAGGGGGAAAAAAGGCAATTTATAGTGTCGTGCTTAGAACAAAGAATCTATGGATATGACAAAGATTCATAATTCCCAAATCTCTCAAGTTAGTACAAAATTTTATCCCTTTAATTGACAATTTTCATGTAAAATAAAGTCAAACGAAAATCAAAAAACACTTTTATTTCAACATTTTTTATATGGAAAATTATACCAATCAAACACAATAATTTTCAATTCCAAGAAAAATAATTTCTAGATAATTTAATTCCATGTAATTCGTTTTCTTTTCACCTAAATTTCATTTTTGCAATCAAATGGACTCAAGTCTAAGTCAACAACTAATTTAAATAACACATTCTATATAATTTTTCAACTACACATTTCATCAATTCTTATCGAAATTGACTAAACATCTAATTTTTATCCGCACCACAAGGGGGTTTAATCTTAACTATAAATCCATTAAATTGAAATGAAATCACATTTTGAAAATTGTCCGATTTAAATTTCAACATTTCAAATGTTGAACCAGTCTATTTAAAAATGATTCAATTTAAATTTCAATTATAAATCACTTGAAATGAATTGTCCATTCGATTGCCAAGAAAATTAGCCGAATGAGGCTTTCTGTATTGCTGGTTTGAAGGCCAAACTTGGCAATTGATAACTAGAAAATAGACTTAAAGTGCTCTATAAAATAGAAAATAATAATTGTAATAGTGCTTCTTATATTTATGTTAGTAATACCGTTTTCTCAAACTTCTTCAGCTACAGATACTATCCGTATGTCTTTGTTTCGTGTTTACTTGGGTTTCGCCAGAATATTCCCTTCAATTCCTTTCTTCTAAACATTTGACTATCTTTCGATAGTTCAGAACAAAAACGTAAATTTTTCTTTCTTATCTTGCAGAAAAATCAACATGCTTATTTGCTTTTTAGTTCACTCCAAGTGTACATCTTTTCTTTTCTTTTCTTTCTTTCTTTTTTCTTTTTTCTTTTTTGGACATCAAATAGTACCCGCCTAATAATTTCTTCGGCTGTGCCCATTACAGCTTACTGGTTTCCTCAAATTTTATTGGACTGATGCAAGACATGAAATTTCGATTGTGATTATTTCTTGGTTTTTGTGAAATTCGGCTAGCAAATATATTATATTTGAGAAGAAAAAAAAAGCCCATTCCCAGATTTTGTTGATATTATTACTGAAAGTCCCGTTTTATAGTTTGATTTGATTTTAAGGTAAAAAAGAGGCAATAATGCAATTGAATACCGTAGCTAGTAATGCTGGTGAGGTTGAGCAAATCTCACCAGACCTGTTGAAGAATACAGATTCAAACATAAGGAGGTTGGCTGATGAGATTCAGCAGTCAGAGGGCAGACAGAAGTATCTTGCTCAAACCAGGAGTCCGTCAGATGGTGGTGATGTTCGGTGGTACTTCAGCAAAATTCCTTTGGGAGTAAATGGTGAGTGCCTATGAGAAACCAAAATTTTCTTCTCACTTTCAATGCGATTATGTTACAACTATTGCTTAGTTTTTTTTTTTTATTTTTTATTTTATTTTTTTTCGTCTCGTGTTTGTTTGTTGGTTTATTGGTGGCCATAAGCCTGAAATGTTAACAGGAGGAATTTGAATCTGCCCATTATAAACTTAATTGGCTTCCATCCCTTAAAAACAAATCTATACCATACCTTAGACATTTAAAAACATCTACTCAAAAAATTTATCAATACTAGTCGGGGATGGAATGTTTAAATCATTAGTTGAAATATTATTTCTCTATTTCCTGTTGAACGAGTAGTGTTCGATTGACTGCTCCAGGACCTTCCTCTTGAATTCATCTTTATGCATTATGTATAAACCTCCTTAAATGTGGCTTTTCCTGGGTTTGTAGAGTTAGCTGCATCAGTCCCTCAAACGGAAATTGTGGGAAAAAGTTAACAGGAGGAATTTGAATCTGCCCATTATAAACTTAATCTGCATCCGTCCCTTAAAAACTAATCTGTACCATATCTTAGAGATTTAAATACATCTACTCAGAAAATTTATCAATACTAGTTGGGGAAGGAATGTTTAAATCAGTAGTTGAAATATTATTTCTCTATTTCCTGTTGAATGAGTAGTGGTTGGTTGACTGCTCCAGGACCTTCCTCTTGAATTCATCTTTCTGCATAATGTATAAACCTCCTTAAATGCTGCTTTTCCTGGTTTTGTAGAGTTAGCTGCTTCAGTCCCTCAAACAGAAATTGTGGGAAAAAGTGATTATTTTCGATTTGGCATGAGAGATTCTCTTGCGGTAGAGGCAACTTTCTTGCAGGTCATGCTGTTGAACTACTTTTCCAATTCTTTACAATCAAAATATGTTTTGTTGATCAGTTTTCTTTTGTAACTGGAAAGAAAACATTGTGTGGTACAAAAATCATTCTTATTGTTTCATGAAACTCTCTCCCTTTTGATTACTACTGTAAAACTTCTGAAGCATTATTGGAACTATTCACAGAGAGAGGAAGAGTTACTTTCTAGTTGGTGGAAAGAGTTTGCAGAGTGCAGTGTAGGTCCAAGAGGGCAGCTCAGCATCGATACAAAATCAGGACTACAGACTAGAAACTCATCTCCTGAGAGTGCTTCATCGGGTGAATTATATGAAACTGAAAAAGAGAGAGTCGGTGTCCCTGTAAAGGGTGGGTTGTATGAGGTACCAATTTATTCTTCCTAGTTAATTTTTGGACTGCAGAGCGTTTGGGAGCTGACAACTCCTAGGTTTCACTGGAGTAGGAAGGGAGTTTGTAGCTGTTGTCTCTCTCTTTCTATCTCTTTTTAATTTGTTAGGGGGATGCTGTAATCAACCATAGAAAAAAATAAATACTGCTATTTCTTAGTCAAATATGAAACTAAAACATATAACTAAGCCTATGTTTAAGCCCCATTTTTGTTGAAAATGAGTTTTGTAATAGTGGATTTTTGGAGAATGTGCTGTTAAAAATTAGGAAAATTTTTTTGGATTTACGTGGAAAAATATTTTATTATGAGAATGTGTGGTTGAAATTAAGTTTAAGAAAAAAAGTTTTTAGATAATGGCGATCAAACAGGGGCAAAGTCTTTCTCAATAAATTTGGGAACTGAATCTTTCTTTGTCATCCAGTCCTATATGTTGCTAGATCTAATGGGAGATACAAAGCAACTAGATTATTGGCAATTACCACATAGTCACAGACTCATTTAATTTGTTCTATACTTTACTCTCTAGCTTTACAGATATCACATCACTCTATCAAAATCTTTGGCAACTGCCTGGCATAATTGGTTATGCTATTACAACACTGACTATATCATGAAGCTAAATCTAATTCCTAATAATCTTGAGGTTCACCGCAGGAATACTTTTCACCATTCAATTTGATGTAGAGCTCTCTTTATGAAGGTCCAAAGAAACTAAGTTCGTTATTCCTGCCTCTTGCCTGTTGCCTGTTTTCAGGATCTCATCTCCCCCATTAATTAGTGGCATCTATAGGTTTATCCATAATGGCTGGATTAATATCCATCTTATAGACCTATGTCTTTTTCGTGTAACTATATTTTTGGTAGAGGATAAACATGATTGCATTGTGTTTTTTGAACTATCAGTAGCAATTTGGATTTCTATAGTAGAAAAGAAGATATAAGGTTAAATCTGGCAGAATTCTTCGAGTAGCCAATGACATTATTGTTGCAGGTAGATTTAGTAAAGAGACATTGTTTTCCTGTTTATTGGAATGGAGAGAATCGGCGTGTACTCCGAGGTCATTGGTTTGCTCGTAAAGGTGGTCTTGATTGCCTCCCACTACGCGAGGATGTTGCAGAACAATTGGAGTATGCATATCGCAGCCAGGTGCTCTACAAAACTACCATTTGGTGCTTTCACTTAGCTGATTTAGGACAATTCTAAGGAGTTAGCGAGTTCCATGTTTCTCAGTGTTTTGCGCTTAGAAGATGTTGATTTGTTAAGAGGTGCTTGACCTTCTTTCTTTACACGAGTGTGCGCATTTTGTTCTTTCTTCTAAGGGTGGTTGATGTAGTAAACTTTTGATAAATTGGGTGCTTTTTTCTTAATGCTTTGCAAATGAGAAAAGTTGATTGGCTTGTTAAGTGGGTCTTGTCTATGTGTTACCTTAAGTTTTTGGCTGACAAGTTGAGAGATGATTGACATGGCAAGGGTGCGTACTTTTCAGGTTTGGCATCGAAGATCCTTTCAACCATCAGGACTCTTCGCAGCTCGAGTTGATTTACAAGGCTCAACCACAGTATTGCACAATTTTCTTAAACTAGACATTACACTATTGTGGTTATTGAGTTGAGCATGTAGTCATGATTCATTTTCTGATTGTAGGGACTGCATGCTCTTTTTACTGGTGAAGATGATACATGGGAAGCATGGCTTGGTGTGGATGCTTCTGGCTTTTTAAATGTTGTAGGTTTTGGAAGGAATGGCATCAAGTTAAGACGTGGATATGCTGCATCTCAATCCCCAAAACCAACAAAGGTATTCTTTTTCACTCTTAAACTGATTCTTAACTCACCTATTTCATCACATTGAATACTTCTTTCTGTCCGTCTTTTCTCTTGCATTCAAGTTGAATTTGACCTTTTCTTCTTCTTTTGCCCTGGGTTACAAAAATGAAAATATAAATGACCCAGAAGTTCATAATGCAGGGACGGTTCTAGATTCACCATACCAATATTAAGAAACCATCTGTTCATGTAATTTAATTATGTAGGCTGAAATATGAAGTTTTTGAATAATCTTTGTAAATTGATTTGGCAGAATAATTGATTTTCCACTTTATTCATAAACGGGTTACACACACATATACATACAGAGGATATTTCTTAGAAGTAAATAATCCTATCTAATCAGGAAAGCAATTCTAGACTTATGCACCTACCATATATACATCTGTCGTATATGTAAAGATTATATTTAAGTCTAAATTAATGCATATAGCTCATAAACCTCCCCCAAGCTAGAGCATAGATGTCAATCATGCCCAGCTTGTTACAAATATAGTTTATTCGATTCCCAGCCAAGGCCTTAATAAACACATCACCTAATTGATCCCCTATCCTGACATGTTTAGTTGAAATCAATCCTTGCTTTAACTTTTCACGAACAAAATGATAATCTGCCTCTATGTGCTTTGTTCTCTCATGAAATACAGGATTAGTGGCAATGTAAATAGCTGCTTCATTATCACACTACAAGCTTATAGAGTGGGACTTATCTATGCCAATCTCCCCAAGTAAGTGATGTAGCCACATAAGTTCACAAGTTACTTGTGCTATAGCCCGATATTTAGATTTTGTACTTGATCGAGGTACAACACTTTATTCTTACTTTTTCAAGAGGCTGAATTACCTCCAATGAAAACACAATACCCTATAATAAAGCGCCTATCTACAGGAGAACCTACCCCGTTAGCATTTGAGAAACCCTCAACTCTACAATGACCATGGTCCCTGTAAAGGATCCCACGTCCTAGAGCTCCTTTGAGGTACTTTAATATATGAGTTAGAGCATTCCAATGTGAAGTTCTAGAAGATGATATAAACTGACTAACAACACTTACTGGAAATGCAATATCTTTTTTTTTGAAAGATAATCAAATATTTTATTAATCAATGCATAATACACGATAAGTGTATTATTAATTTAAAGCAGAAAGGAACAACATAAAATTGGGCAGCCTATCTATATGCCTAGTAGTTGCAGCATTAAACCACATATACAATGTGAAATAAAATATTTCTCTAATTTGCTCTGCTGTTCGTGTTTGATCATCAAAGCAACGACTATTTATTTCTCTCCACATACACCTTACAATGCAACCCGGAATAAGGTCCCATGCAAGCTTGCAATCCTTGTCGCGAAATTTTCTCCTCCATGCCTTTAACACGTCTTCAATACGCCTCGGCATCACCTAATCCATGTGTTGTGATGCCAAAATATTGTGCCACAGTAAATGAGCAGCATCACAATGGAGAAACAAGTGATTAGTCGTCTCCCCATCCCTCCGACACATATAACACCACTCTGTAATATAAAAACCTCTTGTTCGTAGATTATCCATCGTTAACACCTGTCCCCTGACCACCGTCCAAAGTAAGAATGCAACCTGTGGAGGCAATTTTCATTTCCACACCGATTTCCAGGGGAATGAACTTTGCATAGGACCCAATAAAGATCTAAAATAAGTGCCGATTGAGAAAATCCCATCCCGTGTCAATCTCCGCCTACTACAGTCTGCCTCTTCTGTCCTAATGTGGACCTCGTACAAAGAAGTCAAAAACAGCGCATAATCGTCCAATTCCCAATCCTGTAATCCCCGACCAAAAACAATATTCCAACTAATCCTCCCATTATGTATATCTAAGACATACTCATCGTAGCAGACGGTGTCAACACAATGCCCCCGTTTGGCCCCCATTAATTTTCATTTCATTACATTTCATTTTTCTCTCTTGTATTTTTAATCACAGAATCTTCTATAAAATAATATTATACGTAAATCAAAATCTTTTCATTCATTTTCAACCACTCATTTTTCAAAAAAAACTATTCCACCCATTTTAATTCCCCCAAAATGGGGTCCAAACGGGGGCAATACGAGATAAAAGAGGGAAATTTCACATTCAGCAGTTGTTCTCCACACCAACAATCATCCCAAAAACTAATGATAGTACCATTCCCCACTGCAAAAGTCAATCTATCCTGAAAATCGCTCCACCCTCGCCGGATATATTGTCATAAGCTCACCTCGTAAGAATCACGATTCTCGATTGAGCACCATCCTCCCTCCATGACACCATATTTTGCCCCTATTATTTCTCTCCAAAAACTCTCCCTCTTCACATCGAATCGCCACAACCACTTGCCCAACAAGGCCTTATTGAACAGTACGATGCTCCTCAATCTAAGACCCCCTAACCTTATGGGAGAACAAACTACACTCCAATTAACCAAATGTAATTTCCTCTCCTCCCCTAAATCTCCTCAAAGAAACTCCCTTTGGATCGTCTCTAACTTTTTTGTCACTACAACAGGGATAGGACAAAATGATAAGAAATAAGTAAGGAGATTCGACAATGTGGACTTTATAAGAGTAAGACGACCGCCCTTTGAGAGATACATAAGCTTCCAACCCGCTAGCCTTCTCTCCATCTTTTCTATAATACTGTTCCAAATATGTTTACTCTTAAACCGTGCTCCCAAAGGAAGACCAAGATACGTCATAGGCGGTTCTGCAACTTTGCAACCCAAAATAGCAGCCAACTCCTCCACATTATCGACCTCTCCCACTTTGATAGCCTCAGATTTTCCCAAATTTATTTTCAATCCAGATACGGCTTCAAAGCACGAGCACACGACGTAGGTTCTTGAATTGCTGAACATCTACATCACAGAAGATCAATGTATTGTCTGCAAATAGCAAATGAGATACTTGCAGCTGATCAACCATAAAGCCCCTTAACAAACCTTCTCCCATAATCTTCTCAAGCATCCCGCTGAAAGCCTCCATTACAATGGCAAATAGTAATGGAGACAAAGGATCCCCTTGCCTCAATCCCCTGCTGCTACGAAAATAACCCTCTGGAGTGCCGTTCACCATAACTGAAAAAGAAACTGTAGATATACAAAACTGAATCCATTGACACCACTTATCCCCGAAGCCACATTGCCTAAGCTTATACAAGAGAAATCCCCAATTTACATGATCATAAGCCTCTTGAATGTCAAGCTTACATAGCATTCCTGGGACTCGCAGGCGTAATCTTGAGTCAATACATTCATTTGCTATAAGTACGGAATCTAAGATCTGGCGCCCTTTGATAAAGGCATTCTGAAACTTAGACAACACTTTCCCCAGTACCTCGTTTAATTGATTTGCCAAAATCTTCGCAATAATTTTGTACACCCCACTCACTAAGCTAATAGGACGAAAGTCCTTAATATCCGTTGCTCCCAGTTTCTTAGGAATCAGCACAATAAAAGTGGCATTGGTGCTTCTCAAGAACTTTCCGCGCTGGAAAAAATAAGTAAGAACCTCCACAATATCTGATTGCACCACTTTCCAAAAGACCTTATAGAAGGAGAAAGAGAATCCGTCTATCCTAGGGTCTTATCGTCATTCATGCTGTATACCACCTCCTTAATTTCATCCTCCCCAAATGGTCTTTCTAACCAATTGGCATTGTCCTCAGTAATAGTAGAAAAATGTAGCCCTTCCAACTTTGGTCTCCAATCAAACTGCTCCCGATAGAAATTCTGATAAAATCTTACCATCTGGGTCTCGATAGCCTGTGGATCCTCATAAGTAACCCCATCTACCTCCAACGTAGTGATAAGAGCTGTTGTGCTTGTTGGAATTAGCAACCCTATGGAAAAATTAGGTGCATTTGTCTCCCTCTTTCAACCACCTCACCTTCGATTTCTGACGCCAAGCAAACTCCTCTATCTCTACTTCCTTTGAGATAAAAAATTCCTTTACCACTTCGAAAGACCTCTATTCCTATGAAATATTTCAAAGGACCTAACTCCTGGGTCTGAAACCTTGTGCTTAGGAGAGCTTTCAGTATACTGATGCCACTGCTATCACTACCTGTAATCACAATATCATCAACATATACCACTAACAAAGTACACCCTATTTTAGACTGTTTAAAAAATAGTGAGTGATGATATGCACTTCTTTGCAAGTCAAATTCAATCACAACTTCACTAAATCTCCCAAATTAGGCACGGGGTGATTGTTTCAAACCGTACAATGACTTTTGTAGTTTGTATACATTTCCTAACCCCCCTGAGCAATAAACATCGGTGGTTTCTCCATATAAATTTCTTCTTGCAAATCACCATGGAAGAATGCACTTTTAACGTCCAGTTGGTGCATTGGCTAATGATAGGTAGTTGCAAGAGAAATGAATAACCGAACAGAAGCAAGCTTAGCAATAGGAGAGAACGTCTCAGAGTAATCCATACCATAAGTTTGAGCATACCCCGTAGCAACCAATCGAACGACAGATCCATTAGGATTCATCTTGACTTGCGAAGCACGGACACGTTGCCAGTGTCAACGTATCGGTGTCTGAACACGTATCGGACACCGGTACTTCTTCGACACGTGTCGGAGTTCCTTGCTACGTGTTGGATATGAAGAATTACAAATTTTGTACTAAAGATGGTGACTGGTGCTGTGAAGAAGACCCAGGAAAAAGAAAGAAGAAAAACGCAGAATGAAGAAGACGACTGTGAAATGAAGAGACTTAAGGGTGAATGAAACGTCGGTGGATGTAATAGATTACTTGTTGGCCCAATAACATTAAATGCAATATAAAGGGAAATAAGTAAATGAGAAGTTAGTGGATGTGAATGAATTATTTGTTGGGCCCAATAACATTAAATGCAATATAAATTTCTATATATTTAATTTATTTTTTTCCATCTTTTCGGCAAACAATGCAATAGGTAATGAATTAATTTTTTTT